TATAGGGAAAGTAAATAAATACGCATTCGCGTATAATAATAAAAAAAAAAAAATAAAATACGATAGTGCAAAAAAGAAAGAGATTACCGTTCTCTTCGTTAATATCTGTTAATATGTGTCTGTGTTCTATGTGTGTGTGTACGTGTGAATCTAGTATATATACCTGTATACGATTTATATTTTTCTGCATTCACATGAACACAGTTAGAAAGAAGTCGCTAGTTAATGTTTTGTTTTTTTTTTTCTCAGGTAATCACGTTCGCGCGAATCTCCCGATAGATTGTCCCTCCTCCTCCTCCCCCCCCCCTTTTTTTCTCGTCACGTTTATTTTCATATTTCCTTTTTTTTTTTCTTCCTCCCTCTCTTTTACTTTTTGATATTATAATTCACGTTTACGCGTAACTTTTTCCATTTCTCATTTTATTTTGTTAATATCTATCTAAGCGCAAATATATACAATATGTACATACGTTTTTTGTGTTTTTTTTTTTTTGTTGTTTTTTTTTTTTTAAAACACGATCAATTTTTATAATCCTTACTCCCCAAATTACCTTTTCACTGATTGTATAATTAGGATTGACTATTTCTTAGATTAATCAACAAAATTTTCTTCGAATTATTATATGTAAAATATCAAATATTCACGTATATATATATATATATATATACATACATACATATTATATAATATATATATATATACGAGAGAGAATATGTATATATATATACGTGTTAGATGATGGTATGTCCATCTCCAAGGTACTATTTTGGACGAATATCGGTCCGTCTAACATGCCTTGCACTTTGATGAGCAAATACTTTGGAGATTACATAGTCTAATAACTCTTCAGGTAATATTTTTAAGTATGTTTACATGATTATTCCTTTTTTTTTTTCCTCTATCTTTATCTCTCTCTCTCTCTCTTGTTCTTTCTTTCTTTCTTTCTTTCTTTTAGTTTCGTTTTTTAATTACAAATATAAAACATGTATATGTAAATAGAACCTTTTAATAATATGCGCAAACATGTTCTCTCTCTTTCTTTCTTTCTTTCTTTCTCTCTCTCTTTCTCTCTCTCTTTTTATAATTGAGCAATACATATGAGAATTTATTGAAATATCATCAGTCTAAGCCGTAAAATTTTTAACGGCCATTTCATTCGCAACAGCACATTTCTTCAACAACACACAATTATTTCTTATCAAGCATGTAGAATTTAAACGTTAACAAATTAAACGCGGTCCTGGTGCACGTGTAAATATAACAATTCGCAATTACGCTGCTAAATACGAAGGAAACATTATATTCGTTAATAATAACTTTCAAACGATTCTTTAAACTCATGAAACGCACAAGAATAACTCGAGTTTGTAAAAAGTATATTTGGATATACGCACATATGAAAGTAAATAAATATAATTATAATTTATGTTTAAGGGGGAAAAATAATTTGGCTTAAGTGCGTGTGTATTTCGTAAATAAAACATAATATTTGTGAAATTTTTCTATAATAATTGATACTACGTCAAATTATACGAGACACAATTTTTTTCGGGATAAAGTTTCATTCATTAATATATTCGTATATTTTTCATTTATTTTTCAAGTTTCTAATATAAATATTTCAAGTAAAATCGTTTATTTTTTGCTGCGTAAATGAAACATTTTTCGAACGCGTGTTTATTATTAAAAAGAAAAAAAAAACTGCGATACACGCAAATTTTTCGTTTCTTTGTTTTATTATATTTTTTATGGTATAATTGTTTGCCAACGTATATCATCTAGTAGAAATTTCTAATGGAAAATAAAATTTATAGCTTTACACGAGCTCTACGAGTGGGAAAGAAAACAAAAAAAAGTAACAAAATTTATTCCGATTTTTAATACTTTACAATCGATTCGTTCATTGTGCGTTGCATGAATTTCTAATACCCTTACAATAGGCCAAAAACGTATATTGAATTATTTTTTTCCCTTTCCTTATCACTCCTGTTCTTTTTTTTCCCTTTCTTATTTTTTTCTTTCTTTTTCTTAATACTTCTTATTGCGTTAATTTTTTGTTTTTTTCGTTCGCGTTTCTTTTACCTTTTCTCAAAAATATAATATATATATATATATATTATATCGACTACTATTTGTTAGGCTTCCGACGAACGGGAAAATCGCGTTGTCTTTTGTATTTTTATTTCTTTTTTTCCTTTTTGTGTTTTTTTTTTTTTTCAATTTTTTCTCCTTCCTATATTTTCCCTTCATATACCAATATAAACCGAAATAAATTCATTTTATTTTACTTTTTTCTTCTTCTTCTTCTTCTTCTTCTTCTTCTTCTTCATCTTCATCTTCTTCTATTTTATTTATTTCCCCATTATATTTTTATTCGTTATATACGCGTAAACCTAGCATATTATGACCTATGTATGTATGCATGTATATCATATACCTTTTCATATTAAATCCTAGGTATAATGAGACCCTCATATGATCCATATTGAAAAATTTTTACTTTTTTTTTTTTGTTTTTTGTTTCAATTATTTTTTGAGCGTTAATCTTTTCTCATGCGTTTGAAATATTATCGAGAGAACAATAATATCGTATCGTTATTTACACATAGATCATTAACGAATCATTTTTAATCGAAATTAATGCAAAAATATATCTAATATAATATACGTGTGTGTGTATGATGTGTCTGTGCGTGAATGCATGCGTTGTAGTTGTTTTTGTTATATATATATAAACATACAATTTAAACGTACAATTTAAACGTACAAGTCGCGCTCAAAATGTTAACGGGATTTTTGTCTATTATTTCATAACACATATAATCTCAACTTGCATAATTTATAACTTATATCCGTCGCTAGATATTTTTTCTATTCATTCCATTCCTTTTCTATTTTTTTTTTCTCTTAATATTATCTTTAACTCTTTCTTTTTCTTAACTAAATTAACATTCTCTCTCTCTCTCTCTCTCTCTCGTTTCCTTTCAATTATATCAACTAAAAACGTAAAACTTTAAACGCTATTGTCTTTTTCAAAGATATCACTACGTCATTCAAAGACGTCGATCACTTTAAACAGCATCATCATTATCATCATAATCATCATAATCATAATCATATTTCCTTTCTTTATCTTTGTCATTAACATATTTCACGAAAATAACGTTTACATATTTTACGAGAGCTACGACATGTACAAAATATTTCTCACGAATTTGTCGGAGTGGGGAGGGGGAGGGGGCGGTGTGTAAGTGTATTGAAACAGGAAGTGGAAGAGGAGGTTGGGAATGGAATGGGGTGGCACGAAGGGGTAAATGGGTGCAAGAGGAGATGGTAGGGGGGGATGAAAGGGGCAAAATTCAGCCTTTTATCTGTTACAGGCAGTCAGAGGAACGGCGATTATGATTCGAAAGCTCGCGTAAACCTCTTACAGTCGCTAAATTTATGGAACGTTACGTGTCCCATAAAATCCTCCGCCTTCGTTCCCATATATTCCCTATGGCAATGCCATTTCTCTAGGCTTTTAAAACGTCGACGCGTTTTCGATCTACAAACGCTTTCTCTCTCTCTCTCTCTCTCTCTCTCTCTCTTTCTCTTTCTTTCTTTCTTTTTTTTCATTTTTTCTCTCACTCATTTTCTCGACAACTTTATACTACCATCTTCTTATTCATCAAACATTTCATTTTATTTTAATATTCGTTCGTAGTTACTTCTTCCGAAATGCCATTTATACTTTCCGATAATATATTTAAACGAGGAATTTGTTAACAATTGACTAATGCAAAATTCTAACATGTTTGTTAAAAATTTCATTTGGACTTTGACTTTTTTTCGATAAGTAAAATTTCGAACGATCGATTTATATGAGGGTTTTTCTAATATAATAGAATTGAATATGTATTTATGTAAAAAATATATGTATCGAATAATATTAGGATTTCCGATTAATGTGAAATATCAAAAAAAAAAAAAAAAAAAATGGTAACAATCGAGTTTTACGATTTATTTTTTTTGATTACAATTGTATTCCGTATTGTAAAATAAATCATATGATGAATTATTTCAATTTCCTTTTCTTTTTTTTTTTTTGCTTTTTAAGTTTGAGATCATTTTCTTGATTGACGGTACGTTTATCTTTTTTTCATTTTTTTTTAAGAAAAACAAAAGAGAAGAATATTACAGAACTGTAAGAACGTTTTTTCTTGTTTTTTTTTTTTAAATTCTACATCGAAGGCGAAGTAATTTTTATAAGACACCGTTAAAAAATAATAATTCGTGAAATAATATATAATATATGTATATATTTTATAATAGATATATTTTTTTTTTAAATATATGTAAAATTGGTATTATATTGACTTTAAGATCGGCAGTGAAGACCGTTTCGTTATTTTTTTTTTTTTATCTTTTTTCTTTCTTCCTTACTATTTTTTTTCCTACGACTGTGTTACGCGATTATTAATTTCATTCTGTTATACGTTACTGCAAACGTTTTCAATTCGTCGAGAGAGACAGTCGAATGTGCAGTGTGTAATATTAAAATTAATAATAATAATAATAATAATAATAATAATAACATTAAAATTAATATATAAAAGAGAGAGACTCGTTGTTGTAATACTTAATACAATTACGCTTAATTTTTCAATTCGCTAGCTATTTCGTTTATGGGGAAATAAATAAGTATATATAATCATAACGTAATTATATTATATTAATATAGAAATAATTGTTTAAAAGTTCGTATTAATAAATCTAATAAGATCGTATGCTTAAGTATAAGTTATTTTATATTCGAACTTTCACTTAAAATCATCTCGTTGCTCTTTTTTCCTTTTTTTTTTTTTTTTATCATCTATGTATAACACGTACAAGCGTAATTATCGTCGAAAAGCACACGTTTGCATTAAACGCATTATAAACAAATACTTTTCTCGGATACGTTTTTTTTTTTTTTTGACATTATAACATATACCCCACGTTCGTTTTTAAAAATTAAACATTATCATCAATTCGTTACGATCTATCATTTATTTATTTATCAATGTAATTATTTATTATGTAATCGATTCAATTCGCGAATAATTTGTATTGAATTTGTTTTTGAATTTTTCTGATAAAACTATAATTATCTACCAAGATTATTATTATTATTATTATTATTATTATTATTATTATTATTATTATTATAATAGATCATCATAAAAAATACGATAGATCGTAAAGAATCGCGTTTCATTTTAATGCGTCACCCATAGAGAAAAGAATAAAAAATAAAATAAGGAAAGGGTTTTGGGGGTGAGGTTTGGGGATGGGAAGGTGTAGGTGGAGAGGGGAGGGACCTCAGATGACGAGTCTCAAGATACCCATACGTGCGAAAAGAAAAAAAGAAAAAAAAAAAGAAACTAATCCGACCTCCGTGAAAATCGAAGAGAAGAAAATGATTTAATATTGATTTTTGGTTTTATTGTTGATTACAATATCGAATCGATTGAAAAATGTTTTTCTCGAACAGGAGGAGCGCATTTTGTTTTTTCTTTTTTTCTAATTAATCCCTTCATTTCAACTTGTTTTTAACAATAAGCAAAGAAAGTTTTCTTTCTTTTTTTATCGACATTAACGTTGCCGTTATCGAGACGCAAATATAGCAAAAAGGAAAAGAAAACTTCATGTGAATGTTGTTTAAGAAACATAAATAAATCATCAGATGTCGATGATCGTTTATGGTGAATAAACGATCGTCGAGATCGAATGAAATGAATAATTATTTTCTATATTATTACACTCGGAGAAGATAAAGGATTCATATTATGATGTTTAAACACACATTCATTAAAGTACGTATGCATATATTCACATACACACACACACATATACACACACGCAGAGAAACAAACATACATACATACATATTAACATCCACCCACGCACACACAGAGAACGACAAACCGCGTGTCGAGGATGTGTCCAACAGTTTCTCGGTTATCGATCGACAAATTCTCGGCTAATAATGTAAGAGTTCGATGATTAAATCGACGATTAAAAGCACGAACGATTTTTTCATGATATGCAAATGCAATTATTTTCTAATCGTCGACGCAAAGAATTATTTATTATTATCACGAACGTCCCCAAAACAACAAAATCTTCGTTCAATATCTGCCAACGAGGACAATCGTGTTGATTCACGATCATCAAAGTTAAACACACGCCCGAAATATCCATATTTACACGTAAGCCACAGATTGAAACCACCGAAAATTGTCCCCCAAGCCTAGTCCCCAGCCTCCCAGCTCCAACCTCCTCGCAGGAAGAGGAGGAGGAGGAGGAGGAGGAGAAGGAGAAGGAGGAGGAGAGTATACGTAGAACAAATGATTTTTCTCTTTATCTGTTAGATTATCAATAATATATGTCCCGTCACGCAATAGCATCACGACGCACACAATCCACGAGTATGATAGTTAAAAGGAACACGCGAATCCGAAGGAAAATGTCATCGTCATCGGTTGCTTCGTTAATTGTTGTTCTTGTTGTTGTTGTTGTCAATGCATTGTACAATGCATCATAGCACAGAATAAATGAACTAGTTTTGATGTCTCGATATCATCGTTTGCGTTTGAGTTTGCGTTTGCTTTATATAATAGGCCTAAAGTCTCGTGCTTCTTTCGGTGACGGGCAAACACGTTGTTTCGTCCCTAGGTACGGCACGATATTTACCGCGTACCGAGCTGGGGCCGAAAATTGGTGAACCTCAGACAAGATGGCCGTCAATGTCGGAATAGGCCGGTGTCGGTGTGAACGTCGATAACGGGTGACCATGATTGTGCGCACCGTTGTTGTTCGCACGTGCAAAAGTAGCCGGGGGCGGTGGTACGGTGGGTGGTATCAATGATTTTGTACCCGCCGTCATCACAGTAACATCCGGGGGTGGTACAGGTCGTGGTAGAGTTCTCGAACGGGTCAACGTACCCGTTCCACCAGTGTTCATGCTCGCAAGGGGGCCCCCCGTGTGTTGTCCTGTGATTGGCATTGATGGGTAATACGTGCCCGAGCCCGGATCTCCCATTGTTGGTGCCGGGCTCGAATTCGGCTCATATCCCATATAACGGCCGTTGTCCATTTCCACACTGTAGAAGCTTACGTCGTTGGGCGGTGCAGGACTTGGATTCCCGATGTAACTCGACTTCGAAACTGTAACGTAAATAACATTTTACACGATCTGGACATATGTATATATGTTCCAGGGTAATGATACAAATAGAATTTTGATCAATACTTTATAAGGTTGATAATCAATTCATTGAAGATGTTCAAATCATTCTATGGGAGATGATTTACATAAAGAAATAAAGTGATTTGATCAAATCCCTTAAAACTACATAGTTATTGTTTCAACATCTTTCATGAATTGATTATCTAACTTAGAAATTTGATCGAATCTTCATTTTCATCATTTCCCTAAGACATATATACTTTATACCATATTGGAATTTTTCCGTTCAGGGAGATTGTATGATCGATGATCGCAAAGCTTATGATCTGAGTTGGGGGTGGGGGTGGGGGTAGGGTCAAGGGTTATTATAATCGATTTATGATATGTGATCGTTGATGTATGTTGAAAACAAACGAGTGCAACTTACAGATCACTTTTACTTTTTTTTTTCGGGTATATTCATGGGGTATTATTCATGGGTTATGATTGAAGCTCCGCCAAGCGATCTCTTTGATCTAATAATAAATATTACTGACGCTCTGCCAAGGTGCGTGCCAAAGTGCGTTTCTCGTTCTGCCTGTATATCATACGCATTAATATAATATATATAGCATGTACGAAAAACGCATGCGGAATAACAAAAACCTCGCAAGCATAATTCAACTCGCGTGCCTCTCTCCCTTCTTTTCTCTATCTATTTCTATTTCTTTTAGTTTTTTTTTTTTTTAATCTTTTCTTATATTTTCTATTATATGTATGTATATGCTTCCTATTGTATAAGTAATGATATGAATACTAATTAAGCAAGCTGCTCGAAGTAATTTCATGCGAACGTATGAGATGATGTGATACGCGTATGCATTTGATAATGAAGTACATACACATATATATACATATATATGTATATATATATATATCATGTAAATTAGAATTGAAATAATGAAATAATTGCATAAACTTGCTAAAATAATTATCAATCGAACGTGGAAAATAATCCACATACGGGATGATATAAGGAAGGTTCTTGTTTGTTACCTGGCCAGACTCACCAATTTTATTATACGAAAATATTATTCGTATAGAGATTCATTTGTTTGTTTGTTTTTTTCTTTTTCTTTTTCTTTTGCCAATTAGATATTTCTAATGAAACAATTATTGCGTTAGGATAAATCTGACCAGAGATATTACGAGAAGACACCAAGAGCGATTAAACTTGAGAGGTTTGAGCACCTATGCAGAGTGTCGAGACGAGTAGCAGTTGTAGGTGACGCACCCGAGAGTGTCCCACTGGCTGTAGTTCTTTGAGGTGGGGAATCCATACTCATTACTGGTACGTGGTTACCTCGACGACCGAGAGTTCCTTGATGATGTACCTGCATCTCTAAACTACCCTTCCCGTAATCCTGCATAGTTTGATCGATTAAATATGTACTAGCTGCAGTTTTTCTTCCCTCGTCCTGAGGTTGAATGAATAACAGATCAACAGAAAAGAAAATAAAACACAAATCAGACGATTAGTTTTCTATTTGTCAAACGTATTTGATAACTTAAGTATAGCGAATTGATAAAAAGATTGTTCCAGGAAAAAAAGAAGTAAATTTAATTGTCAGGGTTGCGTCAGGGGTTGCATTGTACCGTTTCCTATCAGATTAGTTTCATAAATTTCTTTTCTTATTTGGGTCACTTGCAGATTCCATTTCGTATCACTCATGGTTTATCATCTAAATTTTCGATTAAGTCGTATCTTGTTTCAATTCTACAATCGATCACTCGATTTTTTTTCAATCACGATTGATCGTACCAATATAAGTAGGTCTATCATAAATATAACGATTTAACGTATATGTCACAGATTTTGATGGGGTCAAAGCTAATGAGAAAAATGAGAAAAAACAATTAGACTTTGATTTTTACTTCTCCGTGTACGTCCGAGGGCAATCTTATCATCAAATCACTATACGATACTTAGAATTAATGTATATCTATAATTTGACTATACAAAATAGTGTTAACAAATTTGAATTTGATCTACTGATTAATATTCTAAATTACGTAGTGTATCAGCGTGACTCTTTTTTTTTTTCTCGTATTTTCGTCTATTCTACTTTGAAAAAGGTTGAAACTGAAAATAACTTCTCACGGTTCTTTCATTCCTGGCTTTAGTTATCATTCTGATACACCGCGAATATTTGTTTGTTTTTTCTCTACCTTCGACGGAGCGTAGACGAAAAAAAAAAAAGAAAAAAGAAAAGGGTGTTCTCTCTTGTTTCCCCCCGTCCCCAAAAAAGCATACGAATTCTTATCGTTTAAAACTAGATAGGGGGTTCTCTGTGTTATTTTGCTACCGCGTCGAAACAAGAGGATCGGATTGATACTACGCATTATGTTTAAAAGAAAGAGAACGAAAGAATGAAAGGAATGATGATACCCGGTGAACAACAACAAACAAAAAGAAGAAATAGAAAAGAAACAAAATGTGGGGAAATAGAAAAAGGTTGTCGGAGGGAGTGAGAGAGAAGAATTTAAAAGAAAGAAGAAAAAAAAATAGCTAGGAAAAGCTAGAGAAAAATATTCGATATGGAATCTGATATGCGAGGGTATTCTTGTATAAATAAAAAAAAAAAAATGGAGAAAGAAAGCGGGAACGTTAAAATCAGAGAGAGGACAATGATAACACTGCAATTTCTCGTCGCGTGACGAATAACTACGACGATGGGGATGTATGTATTATCTAGGTTTTTGTTTGTTTGTTTGTTTGTTTGTTTTTTTTTTTGTTTTTGTTGTTGCGTCGTGTTGCATCGTGTTGCGTTCTGTTGTGGTTTATTTTTCTTTTCTCGTCTACATTTTCAAGTGTATTGTTTCTACGATGCATTATGCGCGCATTGCAAATGAGGCTTCTTCTTTTTTTTTTCTTTTTTTTTTTTAACGTTCCATCCCGTGTGACATTTCAAAATTTACGGCTTTGCGAATGGCATTAAAGGATCCAACGTTATAGTGAGTTTCTGTTATCAGATTCGATTAATCAATGTATTAAATATTCATAGATTTATTTCAATTGATGAACTTAAACTTATATATATATTAAAGAAAAAAGAAAAGTGAAGAGAATATATAAAAATCTAACGAAGTAAATTCGATTAAAAATGATATTAATTAATCAGCAAGAGAAAATGTGTGCATGCACGTAAATTAAAATGATAAAACATATTACTACTTTGAAATGTTACATTAGTACGTTCGAGAGTTAAGAAAAGAAATACTTGTTATTTCAACAAAATAAGCATTGCGAGTGTTTATCCAACATTATAAACGAGAATTTAGTTTGCGAGTACTATTACTAAAAAAAAAAAAGAAAGAAGGGGTTGATGGTAGACAGGATGGGGGAAATAGGTGAAAGGTGATTGGATGAAAGGAAAATGTTAGGTAAGAAAATTGTCAAAGTTTTGTTTTCAAATAACGTGCTTGTAAATTGAAACGAATGAAAGATTATATGGGAACCCGTAAAATAAGTTTTAAAGGGAAACTAAAAAAAAGGGTCAGGAAAAGAAAAAGTGTTAACAGAACTCAAACCTACCCTCCGGTATTACTTGTTACTAAGAACATATTGACTGATGGCACTGACCACGTAATCATTAGCGTCGAAGTTAACGTCGCTCTTCTCATCGGACACGGAACTTAATTCGCCGGTCATGGTGTCCCCATTGACGGTAGATGGTGCATACATATCCGCTGTCTGGGACTTGTTTAATCCTGTCAAAAGAGTTTAACGTCCGTTTAGTTCAAGTATAACAAGATAGTTCTAGTTGGTTGGTTCGGTTAGATTACATATAGTTTGTTTGTATTAGAAACATATTTGATAATATATAGAATCAAGTTTTGTAATCTTAATATGTTTTTCTATTCTATTCATTATAGACAATATTTTTCAAAAACATATTTCGATCACTATTTAATTGAACAAAAAAATGGTCAGTAATAATTTGTTAATAATTTTGGTAATAAAAGTTTGAATATTTTAAATATTGATACAGGATGCATACTGTTGCATTATTCTAATTTAACATTTCATTTTGGAATACTGATCACATTTATTTCAAATATTCTTAAGAATAATGAAATCAAGATAAATAAGTCCAATTAATATCCAATTATATAAATCAATTAATAATTGTTTATCACGTCGAAAAATCGAATTATTAATTAATGTATTCGCAGGGAATTTGGACAGGGTAAGAATTTGAAACGTAACAATAATAATAAAATCTAAATATAACGTTCTAAAAATTCTTATACTGCCCAATTTCAATTATAAATCTTACAATCATATATATATATGTAGGAATCGTGAAAAAAACTGGACCGTTGGACTGACTGGACCGGGACTCGAAACCCGGATCTTCTTCCGCTTTCCGGGCGACTGCTCTTTATCCATTGAGCTATCCAGGGCCCACGTCCAATCTTTTCACGAATGCCTATTTAAGAATTTGGCTTGGAGACGCTCGTCCCACATATATATATATCAAATATATAATTATATTTTTCATTTGTCCTTCGCAATGGGGTATAATATATTATATATGTTTTTTTCGTGGTGGGGGGGGGGTAATTTTCTTTTGTCTCGTTGTACTTCGTTATTTCGTCTAAGTCATATCAACTTACGAGCTTTATTTCGTTTTCGTACAATGTACCACAACATGATGAAGAGATTAACGATAAAAAAGATGACGGAAGTAGCTGCGAACGTATAGATATAATTCATTGGGAAATCCCCTCTTTCCAAGAGGACGTCTGGCAGGTTTTCCACGTTATTCGAGCCTATGAAATAATCAGAAAAAAAAAAAACGAGATTTGTTTTAATAATGATATTTACCAGAACGCTGTGCCTTCTTTTTCGACTTTAATGTAGCAACGACTATGGGCGCGGCAATGAGGAGACAAGCGGATGCAGAAACAGTGATGATTATCACGATGATATACGAAGAATTAATCTCGCTTGATGTCAACTCGGTGGGTGGCGCCTCGCCTGTAACCCAAGCCAATGCCCCGTCACCCGTTTTGTTACTCATGCAAGATGATTATGTGTGTTTGATTGTGTATGTGTACCTACTTTGTTAGTTTTCCAATTTTTTAATTTCCTTTTTTATCTATTTTCCAAATTAATTTCTTTTTTGGTTAATTAATTTAACAAAGCGATTTATTTTATATTAGTTCCAAGAGTTAATATTGTTTGTTAATATTGTTTTATATTCATCTTCTTATTTTTTTAGCACTACACCCTTGTAACGATTGATTATATGTTATTACGATTGTTTTTTTTTTATGGTTAATTTATTTAACAATGATGATTGTTTTGTATTAATCTGTAGTGTTAATATTGTCGAAAGGATATATATTAAAATTGAACGCGTTACCGATTATTGTAATTAATGATAAATTTGATAATGCACATTGATATAACGTTATTCAGTATGAATGATTGATCGTCTCCCTAATATGCATTAAATGTACACATAGACACATACGAAACATATATATATAATCTTTCATGAAATATTTTCAATGATCTATGAATCGTAAATGTGAACATATACGAATGGGGATATATTATAGTAGCACGTAATATCTACGTTTAATGACAAGCGTATTTCACAAATGAAGCCTCTATATCTAATCTAATTGACGCATACTGGCCTGTTATGGTTTGACACGTAAAGCAGTTATAGCTAACGATGCGTTAATTATATCTATCAAACGCGCAACCAATTATATATGTATATATATGAACAATGATATTAATATTATACAATATATAAAACTTATATATTTTTTGATTCAAAAAATATACTATAAGTTTAATATATAATATTAATAAATTCTATATATATTAGATCGTCGCGTAATATTATTTTACTTTTTCTTACAACAAATTTACATATTTACGATATTTAATTATTTTACATTTAATTTTTACGTATCTCCACAATATCAACAAATTATTCTATACATATAATTCTATATTTCCAAAAATTAATAAGAAACTTTTAAGACGATCTAATATGTATATAACATATATATATATATACATAATTTTTTGTATTGATTAAAAATTATGACAAAATAAATCGATTAAATGATAAAAAGCAGGAATATATTATTATTAATCGGAATGTGAAAAGCATTTTAGGTAACATAAATTCTACTTACGTAGTGTCTGAACCTTAACGGTGTCCGGTAAGAAACCACTGTCACCCTTTTCGTTAATTGCTTTAACACTAAACACATAATAAGTTCCAAGTTGAAGACCAGTTATCGTAGCTTTATATTCGCCAGGTGAAACGTCTAAATATCTGTAACGACTTTCATAATCCAACGCCTGTCTCCATCGTATTTGATGAGACGTTGGTAGACCACCATTGAATCCTCTTTTCCAGACCAATGTTACAGAATCGTGAGTCATGTTGCAAGCCTCTAAATCGAGTGGTTTGTCAGGTGGTGATGTCACATCCAAATGTATGATGTCAAGAGAATGACCCATCTTATTTTCGGCACGACATTCGTATTTACCGTAATCATGCGATTTCACGTTGAATATCGTCAACGTTGACTCCGATATTAACTCCGATAACTGAAACGATAATAGAAACAAACCAAAAAATAAATAAATAATAAAGAAAATTGCATAATATATATATATAAATATGAATTATGTGAAATTGGTATGATCAATATGATCGTAATACTCACGAGGAGGTATACGATACTGATCGAATTTA